CACACACACATATGTGTATATGTGTATATACAGTATATATACATACATATATGTATCACAAAAAGAAATTTTGGAATACTCCAATGTATCAATATTTTCCTACACCCCTAGCTCCCACCCACAGCAGTACATTGCTCTGTTTCTATGCTGGTAATCCTGTCTGCTTGTCAAAACTGTGGGCGCATTGCAAGTCATCTACTATACACTGACTGGATAAGTACCTCATACCTCCCCCCCAACTTTAAAATTACTATCCCTTTAATCTCCATGTAGGGTGTTTCTCATGTGCCCTTATTTGATGTCTCTTCATCCTCAATCCTCAGGTGAAAACGATCAATCGTGTCCATCATCTTATTTCCCTTATTTATGGTCCGAGGAGTGAGGAGGCTGCCTGGAGGAGGCTTGAGCGAGGATAAAAGATCTTCTATCGGATCGTGTTTAATCAATTCCTCGCTCCCTTTTATCTTTTCCTTGCATAAGGATAAGACAGGAAATGAGGGGGATGAGGAGACATTTGAGGCAAATGAGAAGCACCCACTGTCTGTGTTTATTTAATCTTAGCACAAAGCAGAGGGAAAAAAACTCACTCTGGAAAACTTTTCAACCTTTCAGCTTTCATCCAAGCCAAAGGGCACTGTATGTTTTGTCTCTCAGATTGTTTAATTGGAGAGACTGATAACAGTCCATATGCTAATACAGTGTCCAACAGGATTGTGTTTGGACCTTTATTTGTGATCATTTTGTCTGAAGATTTTCTTGAGTTTCTGTTTTGCTTCAGTATAACCTCTATTTGCTGCCATAAAACCCACAGTTGGTGTAATTGAAAGCAAATGTGAGATTCTGTGCAAGCTTGGCTGTAAGCATTCTTCAGATGATCCTTAATAAAAAAAATTAAAAAAAAAAGTTACTCACTGTCAGTGAGTTGAATAGTGTGAGGCAGAACCAACTGTAGTAATAAAAATATGTGGAAGTGCTTTGTTATCCCAGTGTTACCTTCAGAAACGCTCTTGAGAGACACAAAGTATAAAACATACTTCAAGTTGTTATTTTTAGGCGATTTTTTTATGCAGCTGACTTAGAGCTCTTGCATGTAGAAAATACATATTCCACCATATGGTATGTGATACTTCATTGTAAACTTTTTCAGTGTTAGGGTGGAGATCCTTTTTAATGGTCAGATGTGGAAGGACATGAAACTGCTTTTTGTGTCAAGCTATATGTGGTCCACTCAGGTTTTTCATAAACATGCAGTACAGTGGGGTTGAACAAGGTGAAACACACAACTTGCAACACGTGTACTGATGCACTGTGTAGCAAACATTATTGGAAAAACTATATAACTGTATAACCAGCCCAGTAACTCTGTGAAATTGCAATATAACTTTTACATGCAAGAAGTACACTGTAAAAACAAAACAGTTGGGTTTGAAGTCAAACTCTTAAGTCTTGAAATAAATTAATAATAATGATAATTTACTAAAAAATATGATTTCATATATCATTGATATATGATTGATAATATATATTAATTAAGTTATACATTAGTAGCTTAGTAGTACTCAAAGATTTGTTTTTTGTAAAGAAGAAAAGTAAATTATTTCAACCAAAGATTACAGGTCAACAAAACTTTTAAAAATGTATTTCAAAACTTAAAAGTTCGAGTTTGACTTAAAACTTTAATTAATTTAGTGAAGGCAGTTACCTTGAAATTATGAGTTGTCTCGCAATGTATATAGTGTAATGTGCCATGAAACTGATAATGTAATAATAATAATAATCTGCATATAATATAATAAGATTGTTGAGCACATAATGTAATTACTTTTGTCCAATTCAATTCAATTAAGTTTTATTTGTATAGCGCCAATTCATAACTTTTCAAATAGAGCAGGTCTAGACCATACTCCCTATAAATTATTTAAAGAGACCAAACAGTTACCAACAGTGTATTATTTAATAAGTTAGTTATTTTGTGATATTATTGAGTGGAAATTTGTTTTTAATACATATAATAGCATGCAAGATAAGTGCAATTCATTTGTTTCACGAATAGAGTTTAAGTTAATGTTAAGTGTTTCAACTGTGTGTGGACAAACACACTCTCAAACATAGGCTTGTACACCTAAAACTGTGGAAATATCCATGTGGCCCACCACTGCAGAGACCTTGCAAGCAAAACTACTGACACTGTTATTGAGTGGGAAACCAGTGAGGGATGATGTCCTGTTTTTTGCACTTGAAATACAGTACACTTATTAATTTAATTTCTTAATATAATGCATGTTAAATTGTTACATTAAAAATGTCTACTGAAATTCGAAATGTAAAACATTTAATATTATTACTTTATATGCAAAATGTTATTGTGATATGTGCTCAACATTTTAATTATAGGCAGGTTTGTTCTATTATCAGTTTTTATTAACCTTAACTAACCTTAAGTCGCCTGATCCTTCGCTAACCTTAAAGAAGCATTTCACC